GTTTCTTGTCTGCTAGGATGATATGTGTAAAACAAAATGATGAAATATTTTATCATCTTAAGTTTTAAGTCAGAAAAACCTATCATTCGTGAACAAGTTTGAAATCCAAGCACTGCAAATAGGCGAGTTGTACAGTTGTGCATTTCACAAGATTTTTTACTGCATTCATTTTTTTTTTAATAAATAAATACGTTGAAAATAAAGTGATACATTAGTTATCTATATTTCCTTTTACATGCAGATGGGGGGTCACTGTAGGGTGCAATGTCCAGCTGTTACTTTGAAGAAGGCAGAAACTCCCTTCAAGAGGAGAACTTCTCCTCATGGGGACCAGTCATTGGTCTCCAAAAGTACCTGTAAGTCCCCAAAGTGTAGCATATTTCTGGGTAATTGTCCCCAAAGGGTGAAAAAACCCTTGGCCAAATACATGGAGTAGTGGACGGTGCACATGGTACCTAGGGGCCACCCCTCAACTTAGTCTACTTATGCACTGATATCCTTACAGAAGCCCCCAATGGTATTAAAATAAGAAATGTAACAAGGAAATTCGTGTGAAGGTGGATATAGAGATCAGTTAAGCAAGAAGCCCAGTTAAGACAACCACAATCCTCAACAGTATAACCACAGCTCCGCAACATTTAAATCATCTAGCCGTTCAGATTCAACATGCATCTAATTACCAGATAAAATGAAGCATAAAGCATGAAAACAAAATATATCACACTCACCAGAGATACTCATCATTTCTAAACAAAATCCATCCTCCTGTCTTTGTGCAGGAAGTCTTAGTGTGTCCATTCCGTATCAGCTATTGAGGCCAGAAAAACCTTTAACAAAAGCAAATCAAAAACAAAAATGCAGAGTGGCGCTAGCTTAACTTGGCTGTAAACATCTTGCTTTAACTGACCAATCAGAGGACAGAAAAATTCTGATGTTCTGTGGGCCCTCTAGTTGGCCCTGTTTGGGGCAAATCTGAAATCTGATGGTTTGACTTCCATTAATTTCTACTGCCTAACAGTGACCCTTACCCTAAACCTAGCAATTATGGGTTCATACATAATTCTATCCCCAACCTTAACTCATTTCACACCTAAATGTGACCTTTGACCCAAAAACAGCAATTCCGCTTGGGGAATCCAGGCATTGTGCCCCACAAGGAGCAGTTGATCCCCACAATATGCTGCTTTTCCAATGTAGTTGGCAGACACAATGGATTGAAAACAGGAACACACAAGCATTTATTTCTATCCATATTAACACTTTACCTTGACATACATTCATTTTAGTAATTTAATTTACTGTATGCCTAACTCTGACATTTACCCTAACCCTCATTGTATATTCCTAATCCAAAGCTTTACTTTAACTTAAACCAATCCATACCTTTAAATTAACTGCCTAACATTTAAAATGGGGGTCCACACATGCCGCCTTGGGAGCCAAAACACATCCTAAAGTGCCCCCCTTGGAAGCCAAAGCACATGCTAAAGTGCCCTTTTAGAAACCAAAATGCATGCTAAAATGCCCTCTTGAGAGATAAAACACATGCTGTCTTGGGAGAAAAAATGCATTTTAGAGTGCCCTTTTGGGAGTCAAAACATGTGCCAATGTGAACCCTTTGGAGCCAAAATGCATGTTAAAGTGTGCCCTTGGAAGCCAAAATGTGTGCTAAAGCAGGCATCCCCAACCTCGTTCCTCGAGGCCCACTGTCCTGCAGGTTTTAGAAGTTTCCTTGCTCCAGCACAGCTGATTTTAATTGAAAGCTGGTTAACAGGCATTTGGCCTTCTGCAATCGCTATAATCAACTGTGCTAAAACAGGGAAACCTCTAAAACCTGCAGGACAGTGGGCCTTGAGGACCGAGGTTGGGGATGCCTGTGCTAAAGTAAATCCTTCGGTGCAATGATGTGTGTTCAACTGCCGCCTTGGGCGCCAAAACGTGAAAAAGTGCCCTCTTGGGAGCCCAAACGCATGCTAAAAGACCCTCGCATGAGTCACAACATGTGTAAAGTGCCATCTGGGGAGACAAACTGCATGTTAAAGTGTCAACACATGCTAAAGTGCACTGTAGGGAGCCCAAACGCATGCTAAAGTACCCTCTCGGGAGCCAAAATACTGGCTAAACTGCCCTCTACAGTCCTGAGGACGCAATATATTTGCCCCTTTTTTTTTCTGCCCTTGGCCTTCAAAAAGTCTGTGTCACTGGTCCCCACAAGGCCTGTGGGTCCACAGAAGGTAATACATATACCAAAAATGGTCCTAAATAGGAAACAAGGAATTATAAACTTGTCTCATTATCTTTGCGGGTCCCTTGACTTGGCTTCCATTAATTTCTACAGCCTACCCTTACCCTACCCCTATCCATTTGGGGTTTATACCTAACCGCAATCCCTTCACACCTTAGTCTTAAACCTGACCCCTGACCCCAAAACAGCAATTTCCCTTATCGGGCAAAACAAACAAACAGAAAAAATATTTGCTAAAAACAAATAATAAAAAGAAAAGACAAACAGAAACTTGAACCAATAACCTTGGCTATGTAAATGTAGTCCATGTTTGTAAATTTAGTCCAGTGCTTGACAAAAAAAAAAAAAAAAATTCCTAGGGGCTAGGGCATTGCCAACAGTCTAGGGAACTTGCTGCAATGGGGATCCACTTGATAAAACAATATGTTTTGATATATGGAGGCAAGATGTCGTTGAAGGCACTGTTGTTTAAGCTTTGAACTTTTGTCTAAAACTTTTAGGACTCGAAAACACAAATTAAATTAACAAATTAAAATTAATGTTTAGACTTAAGCTATTTGTAATGCCCAACTATTAATTGTAGTAGGCTATTTAATTTTAATTTTTTTCCTTTATTTATCAGCATCTCACAACCATTTTAGTTAAAGAAAATAATTTCTCTAACTGAAATGCATTTTCAAGAGAAAATAGGCGTTAGCTACCTCAAGACTGGGGTTTAAATTATATTTCACAAAAAGTCTTTCCAGATGTAGTCTATTTTGTTCTGCAAAAGAGGAAAACTCTGATGCTTTTCCTACAGATGCATTATTCATATCATAGGCAGAGCTTGTTTTAAAATCCCTGTAAAACTGCAGAACATACACGCTCCACAAAAGCAGATATCTAATAAAAAAAAATAATAAATAGGAGAGCACCTCCCATATTTTAACAGAGAGTGGCTCGACGACCAGATCGTAAGTTTTGCAGATCCGCGTCGCTAAAGAGAACAGTTAGTGATTTTTCTGGTACACTACGTCCGTAGACGTCTGGATTTCTTGACGTCAGGAGAAGTCTGAGCGCATCCAGCGCTGCGCACCAGCTCAGCAACCACATCTCTCCCAGAGGAAAGCAGGGCACCGCACAGCTACAAATCGCCATTTAGGTACGTTTTACTTCCAAATGCAGATTTTTTCTCAAATGCACTAACTTGTACTTTCCATGCTGCGTAAAACGCAGCGCATTCGGTGCGCCTCCATGTCCGCAGCCTCTTGATTCAACCTAAAGATGCTGCCTATATTTGACTGCCATACCCTTGAGCGCTGCAGTAAACAGGCTGCACACCCACACCGCTCTGCCTCTCTTTATACCAAGGAGTTGTTTCGTAATTGCATCCTGAAAAACACATATTTCAGTGTTGGGTATGGCACCAGTGAATGGTTGAATTGCTTAGAAACTCAGTTTACTTGCATGTCATTCACGCCCTGCAGCCTTAATGCAGAACAGGTTGATAAATGTTACTCAGAGGGATTTACTTTCCACTTGAGCTATTGGAATGCATGTCTCTGTATTAAATATGTGTAATGTTTTTATTCTATTTGTTCCTCCCTCTGAGCTGTTTAAAGCTTCATATGTTAAATATAGCACAGGTTCTCCAGCTTGTGTCCCTCTACCAACCATGCGTTTGTTTGCAACGGAATACTGATCCTTTAGTGCGACTTGCCTCTTCAATGGACAATATTTTAAAATAAATGATCAGTTACTATCTTTCGATGAAATTAGGCTATAAGCAGCAAGATCTGAAGTTACTGTTTGTCACGTTAGAAGTCATTTAAGTGTTTTTTTGTTTTAAGGTTTTCCCGAGTTTGGTAACTTGTAGCATTTTTAATGCATACAATTTAGATATATAATTAACAGCAATCAAGGCAGAATAAGCATTGTATTATTACAAATCTAACTCTACATATATATGTTTTAAATAAAGCATCCTAAACTAAAGATTTTCATGCCAGCAGCTCTGACATGCAAGGTGTTCAGTTTTGCAAGTTTAAAGGCACCTAAACTTAGTTTAGGGATTACTTGATTCTAGTGGGTTTATCCCAATGGAATAAGGGCATATTTTTTTATATATAGGTTCAAAAACAATTTTTTATAAGCAAAATCTTGGATGCTTTTACGGCCGTAACCAGGTTTTTTGAAATACCAAGGTCAAATATTGCGATAAATCTTTCTTGACAAAAAAACATCCTAATATGGTGACTTTTTAAAACATATTTTGGAAACGTGAATAAAGAGAGTTAAATCACAAGCCCATCAAGGAGGTGAATATGAACATGTTTGTTATAACAATTCCAAAACTCACTAAATTAGAGTATTTGAGTGAGTGAGTATGAGTGAGTGTTATTGTTATTATTATTATTAACATCATTATACTATATTATTATTGTTGTTGTTATCAATATTGAATTATTATTACTGCTATTATTATTGTCACCATCATCACCATGCATGTTCATGAAATGAATCTGACTTGCAGCAATATATCACATTTGTGGACTTTATTTTTATTTTAAAACAAATGAGAAGGCATGCTGATATTTACACCAATCAAAGTCAGAACAACTTTCATTATATAGTTTGACATTTCTCTGAATAATAAAAAACAAACAAACAGGAAAATACCGAGGACATAACCTCTGTGTTCTCAATGCTGGTTACGGGCCTGGATGCTTTTATAAAAACCAACAAGGATCAATTATATATCTTATAGAACAGCTGGGAAACAGCTTAATAATATGTTGATGATTATATAGCAAGCTGATGCAATTTAGACAAGAAACGTGTGCGTCATAAGCCTACTACTTAGTGTAGCACCACCACAAGATATCTACAAAATGTGTCAAATAGTTATATCAAGTCTTCTATTGGTTATTTTTTATATCATTCCATTGTGTAGATAATCTTGTATCCTGTAAAGATGTGAAATGTATCCAAAGGATATCTCTGACTAACAACATAAGATGAATTCTGATTTGCAGCTTCTTCTCTGTTTTGCATAAGAAATCTGGCCTGTTTGTTAAACTCTTAGTTCAACATCTAAATTACTGATAAGATCCTATCTTGATAAATGTATACTGACCATAGATTCTGTGCTACACAGATTTAGTTTATAAACTGTGGATCAATGGCGTAACGACACAACAATAGGCCCGTAATTAACATTATCAGGGTGGGCCCCATATGAAGTACAACACCCCAATCTACGCTCTGGATTACCCATAATTCCAAGTCATAGTGCAAAGAATAAAATACTCAAATACATTGTTCGTTTAAGATCTTAATTGTGGTTTTAAACATATTATGTGAGTGTTTTATTTAACCAACAGTCTAATGAACTATACACAGTTACTGACATAGTAATTAAAAGTACCACTGTCTGCTTTGCTATTGGTGTCGTGGTTAAACGGCTCACCATATCATGTTGAAATTTGGCATGTGTTGGGGTATAAATAAGGTCTGGTTAGTTAACCTAGTATCAGGTGGGTTTCAGAGGATTTTTTCTCACCATTACATCTGCAAAGAGATGTCCTAGTTCACAATTGAGAAGGGGGCCTCTAGGTATCAGTGACGGGGCCCCAAAGCAAGCGCAGTCTCTGCTTACTGATATATACACCATTGCTGTGGATCCCACCTTCATTTGGTTTCACACTGGATTTTCAAACTGCATATTTTAAAAGTGGATCAAACCAAGTGAACTATGCCATGTAGGTACAGCAGCTCTTCTTATAGGCTCTATTACTTTCCCTCTTTCGTATGCTAGATAGTCTGTTTGCTTTCTCACCGTATGGAAATCACAAAAGGGTGCTTTACAAAGTGATGTTATAAGTAAACCAAGACAGATGTGTTCATATATATATATATATATATATATATATATATGTGGCATCAAGACCTGAGATTGAGATCAATATATGGATATATATGTGGAAGAAGCGGCATGCCAAGGCACCAGTGATCCTAAAGGATTTGAAGATATAATGTATGCATGAATAATGCAAAGTAGAATCAGATGAAAAAGTAAAAAGTTGTTGAAATGATTTACGAAGGGATTTTGTGGCATACTCTATTGGTTGGCCTTTGATTTGTCCCCGTGCTGTATGGGAGAAAATAAGAAAACATGTATTAGTATTACCTTAAATGTTTTTAAATAATCCATTTCAGTTTTTCTTTACGGTTACTATTATACACTTCTTTATGTAAAAGTTATTAGCTCGTACATGTAGCTGTGTAAAACCTGTATGGACACACCCCAAATTAGTTCTTTCTCCCCTTTAGTTTTAGTGTGGCGAATCCAATCAGGGTTGTAGGATGCCTCTTGGAGAGGATGGAAACGGATGGAAAAAGAAGACATCAGAGATCAAAGAACATTATGACTTCAAAGAAGTGCTGGGAACGTAAGTAACTTAACATTTAAGTTCTGTTTTCGTACTTTATCCGGATGACCTACCAGTCAAATGAGCACCTTTTGATCCCAACAGTCAAAGCTGTAATAAAATACATAGTGAGTAGAAGAACTTGTGCTAGCTTCCATGCATCCATCCTTTAGCCAAACAAGTGAAAATATATGGACAAACAGGTTTCTGTGTCAAAGGAATTGATCTGAGACATTCTCAAAATATGACAATATTGACATTTGCACTATTTCTGCAGAGGCCTGAGTGGCAAGAGATTTTTTAAAAAGCATTTTCAAAAGTAATCTTAGAAAACCATCTTAACTGGATACAAAAAGTGCATATGGAACATGGGCAGAGACACACAGATGAGGTTTTCATCCCATCAGTCTGCTGCGTGGCTGTAGGACTTGAGCTCTGAAAGACTCTGGAGATCTTTCGTCAAACATTTCTCTTTCTTGGTCAAGGGTTATAACTGACTCAGCTGTTTACAATATGCAGTATACTCACACAGTAATACACACGCTCTACTTACCTCAAGTACAATTCCATTTTATGGTTTTAGTTAGTGTGAAAACAGAATGTGTAAATTAAGAATGTTGCATGGAAGAAGCATAAGTTATAAACTTCATCTCAGCTCTGAACATTGGCCAGGATTTCAGTCCTTAGGTCTGCAGGCAGTAGAAGCTACCTGCATCCATTCATTTTATTATTGTATGTTTTATTAGCATAGTGTTTTGCCTTGTCACTACTAGAAACTGCAGAACATTTTATTGTGATTTTATGCAAAGTGCAGGGAAATTAACATTTGTTTTTTTTTGTTTTTTTTTACAAATAAAAGTCAGGAGAAACAATTATATTAATAAGACTATGTTTCCATCAAAACTTATCCTTCTGTCAATTATGTTTTGCAAAGTAGCTTACACTCAGTCTACATTGAGATTATCTGCAAAAACCTATTTTTTTATTTATTGAATTTTTTTTTTAAACAGTGTCCTGTCTGGCAATGTGGCAATAAGAATAAT